CTTATAATTTGTGTTAAGTATTAATACTTTGTTACTTTTCTGATTATATGAAAGCAATGTTTTTTTCCAAATGTTGTTTAGTATTTTGATATATCATATTCTATAAATATGTAATAAAAATGTTCATTGCAAGGTACACACTCTCTTTTTTATACCATTACAATAATAACAACAACAACAACAACAACGACGACGACGACGACAACAACAACTTTTACTACTGCTTAACTATATGCTTGGTGATGGCAAATGATCTAACCAATGCAACAAGCGCCGTGACGTTTAATCATGTTCACACTTTTCGCTTTTCAGGCAGTACATTATTTTGAAATGTTCTATAAAGACGTTCCATAGATTTTGTCCAGACTGTAAGATGGGCATATTTTAGATAATTAGTGTAGTAGGGGTTAAACCAAAATATCACACAAAAGAACCTTACTTGGATAATTTCCTGCTGATTCGTTTTGGTCTAAACACATTAGAACAGCATTTGGTGGAAAGGTGTGTACTGCTTAACAATATTCAATTTTAAGCATGACTATCATATTCTATATTAGGAATTTATTCCTAGATGTATAAATAATATATGTGATAATTCTCACTTGAAGTTGTTTATTTTCAAAGTATTAAAAAGTCACATTATTAAAAAAATACGTATTTATTTAATGCAGCTCTTCACCACTGTAACATTATGTGTGTCCGCGGTAAAATGTGTAAACATTTTGACAGTTGTGCGTACAAAATCAGGTAGATCTAGATTATTATGCATGGATGTCACGGAATCGAATGGATATCTTGAACATTTTATTATGTTTGTTACTGATAAAAATAATTGACATAGTTGTTTTCCTTTCAATATACAATACATTGTAAATGTCTAGTTAGCCGCCTGAATAAGAACAGCAAACGTATAATAATGTATCTTTATAAATAATTATTAACTTATTAATGACAAAGTTACGCAAATGACATATGGGATTTTAAACAGTCAAACACCATTATCTCTAGTTGTATGCCTCATCCGTCTTGTTCAAAGGCCTATTGAGTAAAAATGAGAAAGAAACCCTATATATTTTCATTTTTCTAAAGCTTTTTTTTATTTTCATTGTCGTGTTTCAATTTTCAGACAGGACGATACACCTGAGCAACTTTTTGCTTCAATATACTTTTAATGACAAGCGGAATACCTTGAAGATTATTCATTATAACCTTGGACTTGATACTTCTACCCCCTGGTTTCACATGTAAACAAAACAGAGGGTGAAGGTTTTGTATAATGTATAACGAATGTATAAATTTGACATCCAAAAGAAAAATAAAGTAGACTACGATACAGCTATGATTGAACAAATGTTGGACCATCATAATCAATTAAAAATGCCCAGGGATCAAACTGAATTAATGTCAGCAGGTATAAATTGTACTTTAGGTTTCACATCCGTTATAATAAGTATATGAATTATATGTACTGTTAACTCTAATATCAATATATGTACTTATTTAGGTGATTTTTTACTCGATATATTAGAATAAACTCAGTTGTTTACATGTTTAGTTTCTGTGTATTCTTGCTATTGTTTTCGAGGACCTTATCCGTAGCTTGACGGAAAGTCCCTGTAAGATATGATTGTTTGAGATATTTAGTATTTTCTATGAGTGTCAAAATTACACTCTGTTTACATTTTGCAACATATAATATTGACTATAAATCTTTTCAAAGTCAATGCTATTTTCGTCAGGTATAAAGCGTCTCACGTGTTCTAAATTTATTATTACAACATTATAAATAGCATGTTTGTCATTTCCACAGAATAACAAAATATTCATTTCATAGATATAGTCTGTCTTTAACAGTGATGTTTTAATGAAAATTAATCAGACAATATGCATGTAACTGACTAATATACATCTATGTCAAATGTTTCTTTTCTACAAATTGAACTTTTTAGAGTACATAGGTCTCAAATGGTCACTTTCACAAGTATTTCAAATATTGATTAAAACAGTAGATATGTATAATTTAGATATTCTTATAAGATATTGCTTGATAAAATTGTTGATTAAGATTTCAGTATGAACATTTAAATATTAATAATGATAACATTTGGTTAAAGAACAATTTACTGTCTGCTATATATTTATATATGTATTACAAAATGTATCAAAACATGCGTCTCACACTGACTCACACTTGCCAACATCATTCAAAAATAACTATATCGTGGTTTGTTGATATGTCGTAATTAAATACCATCAACATAATTATTTAACAAGAGATGTATCTGACAATCTATACCGATCTAGCGTATATCAGATATATTCATTCGCAATTTCTAAAAAACCTCTTTATACTTTAAAGCCAATTTTGCCTCAGGAATGCTATCATTTTTATTTCTCAAAACCTTTTCATTTGAGGTATATTGTCTCTGTTCCAAAGTAAAAACACATTTGTCATATGCATTAACAATTTATTTCTGATTTTGTTATGTTTGCTATTGGTATTAATTTAGTGAATTAGTATTTTGTATGGCAGTCACAATACTATTTTTTTTACATTTTGCTACCTTTATGACACATTACTGCATGTTCAGTGCTACTTTCTCCAGCTGTTAAACTTGTAACATACTCTAAATACATTATCAAAACATTATTATACACAGGTTGCACAATTCTAAGTGACACAATATGTGTTTTTGTGACATAATGTGCCTTTATGGATTTAGAATAAACACCCTGCTAAATTTTTATTTTCGAATGTTATCCCGATTTTGATATTTTTAATTATTCGTAGAATCTTAACCATCCGTGTTAGTTCAGTAACTATCAGCGACTCTATTCGCTTATTGAAACCGTCTTTTTCTTTTTACGCGCATTTGGCTTACACTTGTACTCAAATCGGATTGGAATCCCAGATAAAACTTTACCATTTACACTATATTGATTTCCTCTCCGAATCTCTTCAGTATAACTATTACTACATGTATATTCGCACATCTTGTTCCTTTTCTCCATCTCAATCTCCTCGTACATTTCAGAGATGATTCTTTGAAGTTCTGAAGAGCCCGGCGGTATGATTTCTTTGCCTATTTTGCGTCTGTATAAAGGTGGAGTCATTGCCATTACTGAAGGTGTGTTCCAGGGGTCTTCTATTTCTAAAGTTGACATTGAGGACTCTGTCATGATTTACATCAACAGTAACCCTTCGATCTCCGTTCATATATCATTCACTTCACTATTTGAATATAAGTTTTAAATTGTGTGTCGTTTTATTTCTTGTAATACAGAAATGGTACCTTGAAATAACTTGAAATTAGTTATCATCAATATAGTTTACTTACAGTTCTTTTCCAAATATTAGACGAACAAATTTCATAAGAAAACTCAGAATATTTATTCGGCCAAACATAATGCATATATTATATAATGGTGTCAATGAACCGATGCATTGACCGAGATCAGTCTTTCACACGTCTAAGTAAATCCAAGTATTCTACAAAACATTCACGTGGATCCTACATCACTAAACAAGCACATAAATCAAGGTTTTTCTCATCAACTGATATAAAACAATCTCTTACATCCTTCACAAATAACATCGAACAAAGCTATGTGTCAATTTGGAAACATTTCTTCAATTAAAAACATTATCAATATGTGATCCTGAATAATTCTAAATTTTTATTTTATTTCATTTAAATCATTTGCAATCATCACTTGTAACCTACCAATTAATTGAAGAAGGAAACTAATTTCTTCATAGAACAGGACTATAGACAATTAAACATCAATTTATGCAATAAAACTTTCGTTCAAAAGAGAATACTTGATTGAAAGTTCAAATTCTAATTGATTGAAAACGTGTTCAGAACAATAAACATTCTCGGGTATAGTTTAAACATAAATTACACAGCTTAAATTTTACTTCATATTTTTCTAGTCCATCGGAATCATTTATTCCATTTATTTCAGTTTATTTAGTATTGCAGATTGAATACCTCCTAAGCAGGTGCTAGAGGGCGCGGTTTTTATACACAGTTGCAAAATATGTCAGGAACAGACTCAATCAAACTAGGTATGCATTTTTTTATACATTTCTTTTTTTTTTCATTGCTTGCCAGAGAGCTCCGCTTTTCTTCATCAAATGCCGTGTTGTAGCAATAAAAAGTCAAATTGTGCTGCACTTCATTGTGCCACTCAGGAACGTTGTTCCTATAGCACATTTGATAACGGAGATGATTAAAATATCGCTTAAGCTGGTGCCGTGAGAGATGCTGTACATGACAACGAAAACAACCTAGGAAGTTTGAGACTAAGTTCTCACGCACAGATAAAAATAAATGGACAAGTAAAAAATGATATGAACAAATGTTTAAGAAATAGATTAACGTTGACTAATTATTTATCACCTTTTTAAAGTATTTATCATAGAAACAAGTAAAAGAAAAAACGTATTTTCAAAATCATGATCATAAGGAACAAAACAAAGTGTCGGTATTATTAAGATGCCGTTGGAAACTGTCGGTTATTTTTTTAGTTATGATACATCGTATTAATTTATCAATATTTCCCAACTTAACTGTGAAGGTTCCGTATCAATTTCTCGTATTGAAATATTTAGTAGTTCGCATCAAAGTATACAAACGAATAAAAAAACAATCGACCTAACTGCATGTCAATAATTTTTATTACCATTTTATTTTGTAATATCTTACGTTTGATTTTTTTTAATTATTATTGTATATTATTTAAGAATAACGTCAGTAAAGATTAAAGCTGGTTTATGTATTATTTTACAGTTAAATCACAAGGGAGACTAATCGCTACTTTATTTAGCAACGCACCGATGATACATACATTCCCTTGATTCGAAATTCCCCTTTTTCAGAAAATTTGTTCAAATTGAGCATTAAAAATAAAATAAGCATAAATATTCATTATAAGTTATGCAGACTAAGATTTTTATTTTTATTTGGAATCAAATTGGACTAAATGAAAAAAGAAGAAAAAAAAACGTTCAAGTTTATTATTTAATCCCACGTGACCGGAAAATGTAGTGCTAACTGAATAATGGCGGTAAGTAAATTATCGTCTCTTTTTTCAATACCCACAGCAATTTAACAAGCAATTTCAGTTCACATAACAACAGTGTAATCTAAATTAAGTAGTTTCACCATAAGGCACAAATAAAGTCCTAAGTTTACATGCAAATACGAAGATAAAGGATGTTTTCGTATGTAGGTCAACATAAACAGTACAGTATATATGTTCGTCTTTGTTTCGTTAACATTTTCAATTTAAATGTCATTATCTATCCACCAAAACACACCTCGGCCAATTTATAATACATATAACATGAATAGGTAAAAAGTGTTTGAAACAGATTGTAAAATTTTATTTGTAATTCCTTTTAAAAGCTTAATTTAGGAAACCTTTGATTAATAGATTACTGTATGTATATAAATAGAAATGCTATTAATAGAGACACGAAACTATATGCATTCATCAGCAGTATTTGAAACATATTGTAGGGCACTCAAGAGTTAGTAGGTGCTGCGCTGGAAATACCTGTACCACAGACGAAGCGTAAAAGAAGACATAGGTATATAATTTCATTATTTTTATCTGTTATACATGTATTTAATATATATTATACAATCTATTAACTTAATGTAATACAGAAAAAATTGAACTCATTTATTGAAATTTTCCTACACTTTAAATCGTTAATTGTATGAAATCACACTTAAGCATAATGAAATAATTAAACTAAAACTTCAATTATTTGATAAATTACACAACAATTACATTGTAGTGAAGCAGGAATAGATACGGGGGATGAAGACGATGATGTCGAGTCTAAATATAAAAGACATCACGTTGGTAAGATCTATCTTTAGAATGTAAACATACCCCCTCTAGGGTTTTAGTATACACGCTGAAGACAAATATAGAAGTTGGTAACTCGATTTCATTTGTAAAAAGTAAATAAATTAAATAATAATGATGATAATAATAATAATAATAATAATAAAGAAAACAGTGCATATTACTGAGATATTTGTAATATTCCAAATTACTACTTTTCTAAAAAAAAATGTAAATTAATTCTCTGGAGTTGAATACAGCTACCATATTATTGCAAAATGATTATGGTTTTGCATTCCAGAAATAGATAAAATACAAACAAGTGACAGTCCTCAACTTTCTCCGCTAAAGAAAATCGTATCAGATAATACAGTTGCAACTTCTCCACAGGCAGATTCAGGTTATGAAATATCTGCCGTAAACACTCCATCATCTAGCAAACCCTGGAAATACGTACAGCCGGGATCCAGTGGATATATATCAGGTATATTGGACAGAAATCATGTTTATTAAACAATAGTTTAAAAAAAACGTTGTTTCTTTCTAAACATATGCTAAAAGAGTATTTAAAGAACATACTGCGCATCAACATCTTTTGCGGGAGTAATGTTTTAATAGCTGCATCTGAGGGAGTTAAATGTAATGTGAAGTCTTACTTTGGGAAAAATGATACCCTTTGTTGCAAAGAGGCGATTGCTCTGTAGAGACTGTGGCAACATTTTTGTTTCAATTATAATATATTGAATTTGACTTAAAAAGTTCAATTTATATGATAGAAGTCATGTTTTAAACTAACATTGCAGGGTCTGATTGTGGAACACCTGCTGGAAGTCAGCGAACACCCGGACCATTTTCTCCTGATTTTGTAACGAGAGGAAAGGTAATATCAGAATCCGATTTAAATACGTAAGGACTTTTAAATCCAGTCGATGTAACCTGCTTGTTAATTACACCTTTGATATATCATTTTATCATGCATACTTATTTGTAGATACATGGCATTTTCATTTGGCAGCCCGTTAGCGCGAAACTTTGATATATATTTGATAATAGCATAGAACAGAAAAAAAGTTTATTTTACCTGACTTACGTTACTAACCACATATTTCAGAAAACAATAGCTCCGGTCAGGCCACGTCATCTCGAATATTTTCTGCAAAGACAATTTGTTGTGTTGAAAAGTGAGGTGGATCCGTCTGGAGTAGCAGACAGTCTATTCACTGATGGAATATTATCAGAAAATGATGTCGAAAAGATAAGAGAAGAAAAGTTCAGATTTGATAAGTGTGATATTCTTATCAAGTCTATCGTTCGGTCGAAACTCAAGAACGATATTCACACACCGCGAAAGGTCATTACAGCATTTGAGAAGGAAGGATATGGTCATCTTTTTCAAGACTTTGAGAAAGGAAAAGGTAAAAGATTTGAAAAATTCACATAGTCGTCTCATATCTTATATTTCATTTTGTATAAAGTTTACGATCCACATGCTTATTTACATTGATAACAATCATTCTAAATTCAGCATTTTTACCGTGAATTTTTAGAAAAGAGAAAAACACCACCAGTAGAAGAAGTCCTATCCAAAGAAGACATTAAAGGAAGATTCTTCTGTAACAGCGCTTACATAGAGGACGAAATTGATCCTTTATTAATCCTTGATGATCTCGTAGCTGAAGAAGTTCTGACATTTGATGAGCACCAGGACATAAAAAACACAGACTTTAAACCAAAGAAAGTAGAGAACTTAATCAAGTATATTCTAAGAAAGTCTGTGTCGGATTTCTGGTTGTTTTGTAAGGCTCTTGAGGTGCATTATCCGTCATTGGCAGAATTATTGAGACGTGGTGCATCAGGACCTTCTCTTACAGGTACATCTCATTACTGCATCCTAGTTAAACATAATCTTAATGATTTTAAATTATATAGGCTTAATATTTAGGCTTTGGACATTATTTCTTTACAGATAGCATAAGTACTTTCAAGCTTAAAACGACATTTACTTACTTAATATTCAAAATATTACTAAAATTTATGCTATACTTTTGTAAATTCTAATTTGTCAGATTAATAATATGGTATAAAAAGTAAGAACGATATGGACATAATTTTGAAAATATTATATTTCGGTAAAAACTTCGTTTAAGACCTTAACAACGAAATCCTTATATTGCAGAATACAGAACTACTCCTTTGATAGATGTAACCTGTGTAAAGAAACCAACTGAAACAAGCTACAGTAATTGTCCTGTAAATGAAGGTAATATAGATGATCTTATATTAACACACATATTTGTAAAAACTTAAAACTTTTTTAATTAACATTATCAATCTATTTTTATTATATCATAAAATCAATGTAACAAGTACATCAAATTACACCAATTTGAAGCAGTTAATTGTATAAATGCAGCCCTTGCGAAGGCGTAGAAAATGGAATTATATATTTGGACGCAAGCTAAAATTCAGCTTTACAATAAAAGTGCGTCAATGAAAAAATGGTATAAATTTCATTGTAAACAGGTTCATTTTAGAAATGTGATTTTCATTCTGTGTGTATGATAATTGCTCAAAAACTTTTAAATGTGTAGAGAAAATAATGATGTAATGTTTGAACAATAAAAATATGCAAATGCTAATATGATATCTTGCACTTTCGTTTCCTAATTTTACAGTTTTTCTAGAAAAAAATGCATGAAAGACTTTTTAAAACATTAGGCTATCATTATACGAATTCTTTGAACAGACATTAAACATTGTTGGTGATATGCCTTGTATCGTTTAAAATAGCGTAAATTGCATCATACAATATTATATCAGTTGTCTGTTTCATCATGCAATTGTTTCAAAATCTAAGTAGGATCAAGAGAAGAAACAGAAGTAAAGATTATATTCAGTGGTGACGGAAGAGAAGAAGAACAGATGATTGTCGATGACAATTTCCCAGATGTAGATTTTGGATTTCAGGAAGAAGTAATGTTTAGAAGAGTTTTAATATAATTAATTGTGAAATTGTGCATTGGGATGTTTGTAATGATATAACGTCGCAATACATAAATTCAGCTAATATTGATGTCTAACCTAGTAACGCCAATTTTCCTGATTCCAGTCCTATTGAGTACGTTTTGGATCTGCTTCGTCGTAGGCTACAATATGTTCTTAAAATTGAATTAAAAATAAATCCGCTCATACTGTTAATGTATCGTCAATTCAATATGGATGTCATTTTGCTTTAGTAAGCCGTCAACTTGGTGCCCATACCAGATATGTACAAAAAGATGACAATAATTTCATTATGCGTGTCATTCACCGCAGTTTATTTTATAGGTCTATGCTAATGTCATCTATGATTATGTATCATGTTGACTCTAAACTCATTCGTCAATAAAAACCACAATTTGAAAAAACACCACTCAGTACGTAATTGAATAACCTAAAAATGGTACCAAATATTATATAATTTCAATAATGGAAATAACGCCACAACCTCATGGATAACTCATTTAACTTTGAGTTAACCTATCAAGTAGATTTTATGATGAAACTTAAAATATGCAATTAGCATGACATTAATGTAAACACTGTTCAATCGTATAAATATTTATGCGAATTTATGATTCACAGATGTATCTATTAAAGAAAATTGTACATCTTTATGTATGGTTAATATGATCATTTGAAAATTTCAGGCAATGGAAATAGGATTTGATATATCAAGAATACAATTTTCTTGTATCCGTATAAGTCTCACAAATATGTCCAAACAGTCACAAATGATGCTTCTAAAGAAATGCAGAGAGTCGCCAAAGTTTCTTGAAAAATGGATTCAGAGCATGATATCAGAGAAGCACATACAACGTTTACAAGAAAAGAATATTGACAAGATATCTTTTCAAGTGAAACTTTGCCTTCCAGATTTAGATAAAAGTAATTATATGCTTCTTTTTATTTCATCCTATATATTTGAGTTCTCTTTAGTTAGTGTACACTTCTCCCGTGTATAAATGGTGTTATAATATATTATTAATAAGAAACAAGTATCTGTCCATATATTCACTGAGTGACAATCTAATTGATCTTTGAATAACTTTCGGCGTGACATTCTTGCTCTGCGTGTAATTCATAATGTTTCTTTTAATGTCTTTAATACGTAGGCTTCAAAGTGACACTATGTTTTCATGTTAATTGCTGGGGAGCAAGGATAGTAACATCCATTGACAACAATTCTGTTCCTCATGAACAGTCAAAGAAACCCGAGCCTGCAGCATTTTCACTTTGATCGTGTGAACAACACGTTCGATATTCTGATATTGAATTTAGCTTGATCAATCACTAGGATTTGTTGTCGTTGTCAATCAAAACCAATGTATTGAAACTGGCTCTAAAACATAATTTATATTAGTTTTTTCTTATTTCATTAGGAACATGCTCTTGCAAACTGACAAAAGAAGCGATTGTAGAACATTACACTTCCCTAGAAAAGAATCTTAAATGCGTAAAAGAAATTATTCAAACATTTGGGAAATTCGAAGGATTTGACGAAGAAACCAGAGCTGTGTTTCAAAATTTGCTTGCGAAGGATAAAACAGGCCCTATAATAGAGAGGTTTCTACAAAAGATGCTAGATTTACATGATTCAAGAATTCACCTATGCCTTCTAGAGAAAGAAATGCGGACAACCAATCCTACCCTGTTGGAAGAAGTAATTAAATCCAAGCCTAAAAATACAAGTAAGCATATTTATTCAAATTTGCTTTTCTTGCAGAGTATAGCTGAAGTACAAATTATTGTGTTGAGTTAAAACCCTCACTCTAACCATCTTATCAACGCTATAGTTTTCTTTGTTTTTCTCAGGTGATATAATAAATTACAGACACTAAATTTAAGTTACTCTCGATTTATGATTGATTGATGAATTTATTGATTAGTTACAACTTCTATTTCGAGTATTGCTAATTTTATTAACGGTATATATCTTCCAGCAACCAAACTGTCTGTATCCGACTTGAGACGAAACATGAATTTTCTTGTTGACGAACTGGAGCCCCGGCATTTTAGGGAACTGCTAATTGGAATAGATGGCAGTGAGGTCGTCGTAGAAAAAGTGATGTCAACAGAGCCAAGGAAAGAAAGATGCCGAGAACTTTTGAATTTTATAATTCAAAAGAAAAATATCGACCGATTTGTTCAAGAATTAGAGCGTCGTAACAAAACCCATATTGTTGAATTTCTGATGGCTTCTAAGCAAGATTCCGGTAGGAAATCTCATTCTTAATTGTGTATTATGTAAGAAATGCAGGATCACAATGTGGAAGAAGTATTTGTGTCTGAAAGACAATAAAGCTCGAAGGTTTTATGGGCTAACAAACGTTACTTTATGATTTGATACATATTGGCTATATTGTCATAACTTATTCAGATATGAGAGTAATATAAGCAAGGGAGAGTAATTGTGATTGATAAGTTTTTTTTTTAGATTTGAGACTTAACAAAGTAATTGTAGTGAAGATTAAATCGCACGCATGCAGATGAAAAATATTGTATTTTGAAAATATACCTATTCATAGCTCAGTGACACTGCGTAATTTATGTCTAAGTATAAATGAATGTACTATTATTCAATCAAACATTTTACCAAGTATACAACAGAGTTAGAACTATTGAAGCATATGTTTAAACATACATACTTACCGTAGGCAATGAACTTTAAATGTACAATTGATAAAATCTTTACCGTACGGTCGGCTTAAAGGGGTCGTGAGGGATGTTGCACCTATTCATTATCCCTCATGTACAGACTCAATCAAACCGAGTCTGCAATTTTCATGTAATTTTGTTGTGATTAATTCTTCCGAGGGTGATTAATTCTTCCGAGGGTTCACTTTGTTTCAAGAGTTTTAAAGCATTAACATCTATGCCCTGTTTACAGCAATGAGGCTTTAGGCAATTCTGCCGTTTCTTTTTTATCTTTTGAGCCGTTATTATTCTTTTCAAAAATCTGTTTCGATAAAGAAATATTTATTTTCAGAAGTTGGCTGTCGGGATGACTTGAAAGAGGCGATAGTCATAAACTACAAACGTATCATAGATGAGATTGAGCCTCGCGCTTTCCGTCAGATGTTTGTAGAGAGACGGGAGATCAAAGCCAAAGACTATGATGCAATAATGAAACTTCAATCAAGGAGACACAGAGCAGTCTGTTTAATGGGAAACATATTAAAGAGAAATGGGTCAACATGGAAATGCTTTGTGGATAGCCTCGAGGTCATGGGATATAAGCACCTTGTGAAGTTAATTAACAGCACTGCAGGTCATTTGCCTTACAATTTTAGTGACATAAAAATGCAAAAATGACATTTGTTCTTCTATACACTCTATGCTATATTTAGCTTAAAGGCTGTTTTATTACCAAATCAATTATTATACTATGTTTGAATCCTTCTTTGTTTGATTGTTTTTTTAAATATAAGAGTAAAAAGCAATGGTAAAAAGGAACTTCAGAAATTACATAATATCCAGTGAATAGCCAGGACGTGAGGTTACAAGGAATTTTAAATTTAGTATTGAAAAATACCTGACATCTTTAAGAAGTGACAAGCTCTTTATTCACTTTATTCATTTTATTTTGTTTTGTTCTAAGGTTCATATGTGGAATGTCCGAGACTCTATCAATCGCTTATTGGCAGACATAGATTTGTCACTTTGGAAGGTGAATTCCAACTAAAGTTTACGAAAGGTAAGATAACAATTTTGACTAAACCCATAATAGAGATACATGTATTCCTTTAATTGAATGCTAAATATCTAAAATTGTACATTTATTCGACTTGTTTGGTTGCAGGAGAAATCAAGGAATCTACGCTTCAGGTCTTTTTGTTAAAATCGATTTATGCAAGCGACAGTAAAGAAAAAGAAAATAACCCCAAAACTGACGAAGAAATCAATAATGAACTTCCAAGTTCATCATGTGATGAAGTTATTGTTAAGCGCAATCTGACACGGGCATGGGTCCAAGAACAGCAAATGGATCTTAAAAGGAAGCACAATGATTTGGACGCAGCAGGTATTTATGTTATTGATCTAAATTATACAGAAATATATATGTCACATTATTTATTGTATCAACAATTGTATATTGACAATATTTCTTGAATCAGAAGATCTACCAAATGCAGAGTATTGTGCAAATTGCACTTGGTTTCATTAAGTATGTTCAAGGAGGCTGACAATGAGTATTATTTATTGATAAAAACAAATATGTTTTAAAATCTTTAATCAATAGAAGACGCTGTTCAGTTAAATATCACCCACTACTTATGTTTCAATTATTTTAGAACGATCAGATATAGAACAACCAACCGAGAGTAAGCAGCCTCGTCCCGAAGTTGCTTATGCCATCCAGGACTTTGCAGAGCTTTCCCAAGCGTCTTCCCCAATGTTAGGAGTGCCACGTCACGGTGACTACTGCAGTTCCCCGCCGCTCACTCGTTCATCTTCAAGGGAAAGTGATGAGCGACCTCAGTATGAAGATATTTCACCACCTGCCTCACCAAGTCACGAAGATAAGCCGCATATAATCATTGAGGCACCGTGTTTTCAATCAAACATGTTTCATTTAAAACGCCGCAATTCGCTTTCAGATGGATCATCTTGTACATCGTCTCCGTCAACATCTCCTAGCTGCTTCAGAGGTGCATGTTTGATAAAATCGTCAGAACAAAACTTTAGCTCACGTCCTTATAGATCTTTGTCCGCTATTCGAGACAGTGTAAACGGACGAGTCAATGCTTTATTTTCTTCCATTATCAAAAAGGGGAAATGAATCTAAATACATCAAAGACTCTCCCTGTCTTGTTTTGATTTTATTAATTCATATTTATATATATTTATCTGAAAGAAAGTAAATTGTACATACCTATTTATTTAATCAAATCAGTGTTCAGTGTATCAAATTATTTTTCTTCAATCAGATTTATTATAAGAACATTGTGCAAATAAATTACAATATGAAATACACATTGACATTAATCAAACATTTAGAATATCGTGAATTTTGCTACAGTAATTTCTCAATGACATAATTACAGATGAAGAAAAAAACGTAGTGGAATTGCCCATCTGCTTATAATAAATACCGTCATCGACACTTCCATTTTCATTTCATAAAATGTTTTTAGATGCCTTTTATTAGGTCGACTTTTTTTCTTCTGTAATATGTATTTATAAAATATATTTGCAGATATATACAAATATATATGTGTGTCCTCGCCACCCGGCGGTGGCTCTTGTTAAATCTCATACAAAGACAATTACATTAGGATTTGTTATACACATGTATACATGTATGTTGAAAACAATTGACTCAAATTTAGTTTTCATATCTAATCACAAACACTTGTACATTGTATCTCTTTTGAAATTGACTGCTCTGTAAACTTGTCTATTTATTTGATCAATAATTGGGTCATAGAATCTTAAATGCTTCAAAAATGTTTTGTTTGTAGATGTTTGTATATGTTATGATATATTTAAGTTGTCCTTAGCGACAAGCTGCTGTATGATGTCTGTACACATGCTCGTATATTTAATAAAATACTACATCTTTTTTCAAATTTCTAAGATAACTTTTTATATCAAAACTATTTGTAAGAAATTAAAGTGTATTATTACAATACATGAAATGCAGAAATAAAATGGTCTTTGTTTTTCTTAAAATACATGTAATGTACAAATTTTAAAATATTATTTCTTTGCATTTGTTCCAACAATCTGAAAGCATGCTCACTGATCCTAGAGAGTTACTGAAAGGTATGCCTTCCAACGATTAAGAAATAGCTTCATCAAAAGATAATAAGAACACGTTATAATTTAGGTATTTTAGTAACAGAGAGATGGAAAAACAAACAAAAAAATACTTGATGAAAATCGACTTTGTTTGATTGGGTATTTTAAAGCACAACACCTCTAGCGCCATTTAAACCGGCTAAACCGCAATTATTTTCCAATACTAATGAGTATAAAAACTAATAATTTCAAAGAATCAGCAAAATATCAAGTAATTGAACTATTGCATTCAAACTGATTTCAGTTGGGCCTATGTAGAAAATAACAATTAAAAATATTGGAAAACAGTAAAAAAGGAACTCTAAATAAACAGAAATCCTTATAATACATTATTGACCCGGTGAATCACAAGTAGACGATATTTTCATGGTTTATACGCTCGCTAAAAGCATCGACGACGAAACCTCCTTTAACGGATGTGCGTCCAGGCAGCATTCTGTTTTGTCCGGAGCATATATTCTACATGCATCGAAAGATTTTTTATTACTAAAAACTAATGTGGATAGCACTCCGTATATTAATAGTTGTTGCCAACCGTACCATTACATCTTTCGGTTGAGCCAAGTTTTAAATTAGCTGAATGATTTATAGTTTCGAAGATGGGCTTGGCTTTAAGTTAAACTCATATTAACGATGAATTGAAATAGTCGTGCTTTTATATATAGCCTGGAACCCCGTTGTATCGATCTACTTATTTTCATCAACTATAAATAACATTTATCTTGGTATTCTTTTATTTTTACATCCAATTATATTCCTATTTTTTTTAATCTAGCCAATTCTTATTGGTTATCACTATTAAACACTTTCACAGTCAAAAATATTCAGCCATGTTGAAATTTGTGTATTCTGACGTCACTTCATTATATCGATGCGTTATGGGAAATTACTGTTTTGCATAAAGTATGGAAAGCCAGAGCTGTATAAATATTGTCAAAACATAGAATTAAAGTCGTCTCTCTCAAAAAAAGTTTGCAAAATTGTTCATCATAAACAGTTTTAACTAAGAACTGTAAAAAATAACTATATTTACAAATCATATTTTAGCTACTGCTGATCTGTTTTAATTGGGAACACAATGAGGACAAATGCACTCACTGTCACGGCGTACAACACGATCTTTGGAACAGAACCTTAGATGTGTCCAGTGTGAGCACTTGTCACATTTTCCCCAGGAAACGATAGACATAAATTGATACTTGTCCAAATCAGCTGGCTCCCATCTGTTTTATCGTCATCAGTAACATCATCAGATTCTGATTCAGGGTCCTCTGATTGAAGATTAAATGGACCTCCAACTCTTCCTAGGCCAGATGTTCCGGCCCTTGGTTCAGCTGTGCGTTGATTCTCTTCTAACATTTTTGTTTCAGGGCTGATCTGCTTAGACCTTTTTTTTTCCATACTGGTAAGTATTTAATTATTTTTTTGCAGCATCAAATTACCTGATATTCTAGAAGGTGGCACAAAGTTTCTTTTTTGAGGTTTTACTGCCTTTGTAATTGTTCTTTTAGAGAAAGAGTTAACAGCAGGAGTCAACATTTGAGGTTCTTGAGTCTCAATCTGAGGAGATGTTTCATCATCAGGGTTGCAAAAGATGGTTGAAGGGGCTACTTGAAGGTCACTTATGACTGTGCTGCAAAATGGATAGATGCTTGTCTTTTTTCAAATGCGGATATGAGATTTTCAGGTCATACTGCTTTCAGATTAAGGATGTGAATTCAGCTATATCATATTTTGTAATGTCAATTCCAGGACTAGACTTCAAATATTTCTGACACTCCCGAGAGTACATTTTCTTGAAAGGACCAAATATGCCAACATCTAATGGCTGAGTCAAGTGACTGGAATGCGGAGGTGATACGAACTGCTGCTTCGCCCATTGTGTGGTGTAAGGGAAATGTGAGACCTGTGGCCATCATACAGCAGAAGAGTTGGCTGTTCAGCATCAGTTGGAACATACTTAAGAACGTGCTGAGTAAGATAAGTCAAGAATACCATGGAATTAGACAAACCTGTCTTGGACATCTCTCCAGCTGAACCTGGGCAAGCACCCTTCAAGAACTCATCATTCCATCTTTGCCTAGGAAAAACATAATAAGGAGGAATACTCTGGCCAGCTGCATTACAAGATGCTATTACTGTCACTGTTGATAATCTGGCTGATGTTCTGTTCTGTGGATTGGTGTCTTTTCTACACAAAATCTTGGGTGGTGAATGTTCACTGTTTACACCAGTCTCATCAATGTTGTAAATTTTGTGAGGTTTGTCCTTGATGTTGTTTGATGTTAATATAGAGTCCAGTTCATTAAAATAGGATTCAAATGTCTCCCTAAAAGATGTCTTGGCCCTTGCAGTACAGTCCAAAAAAATGTGTTTTTAAACGTTTTAAAACGGTACCTGTACCATTTTTATCTGCTATTCGCGTAACCTGTCAATTATCGATAACGCTCCGCCCCCTGTTGAGGCATCAATGAGGGAAATCGGTAGTTCCATATATGCGTGAATTACCGGTCCATACTGGTCCTTCATGTATCGTACAAATACCGTACATCTTTTATGAATATCGTCTACCTTTTATTTAGCCTTTTTTTTTATAAAATAAGAAATTATCGGCCAATGTACATAACATAATGTATGAAACATAAATAATATAGCGGCAAATCGCACGACCACGGGGTTGATTAAAAATATAGTTGCTAAAATATCCATAATGTGTGAAAATAATTTGTCTGTCCCGTTAATCTGATAGATATTACATTGAGTTTATGGACTTTTGTACGGATTCAAGGGCTTGCTTCACATTCAATATCTCGTTTTCTAACAATGTCAAGAAAAACAGCAACAAAAACAGACAACATTGTTTATGTGAACGCCTATATGACTTGTGGTAAGGTGTCCCTGACAAATTTCTAAACCATTTTAGGTTGTCTAAGGATTATTATTTCTCTATGAATCAATTAAAATAGATAATAAAATATATTATCAGTGAATGCTTTGAATAAATTGTTCGCCAGTAAATCGAACACAGTAATAATAAACCTGGGACAAAGTATGGAATTTATTGTATATCCCAGTAGAAACTGGATCTCTATGTCTTGCATAGATGATACGTGTATTCATGATAATAGAAGTCAAGAAGGTCAGATCATAATGATCGGGTGATACCTTTTATTTCTATTAAAATATGTGAAGCATTTATATCAATTTGGAGGGAAAAAAATAATATCCCGTTCTTATTTGTACATCTACCATGGACTTTAAAAGACCGTCAGAAGCTCAGTTTTTTTGTTATTTTAATTTATATTTAACGGAATTTCATACACGAATACACAGACAGAGTGACACTGGTATGATATAATAATAATGCTGATGATAATAATAATACACTTCAAAAGTGAAACAATTAAATACCCCGCTACGTTCCATTTCTCCCCACCGAGTGTCCCAAATTTTTACCGAAAGTCACGTGACATGTGCGACCGATACCAGACGGACGGTAAATCACGTTAAGATTTGAAGAAATTTCTGTTACAAACTGATATTAATCAGCAACCTTTTAATTGGTCAGATTTCACTGGGTCATAAAATGTTGTTAGAGTATGTTACCGCAACTTGTGACCCTCTCTGGTGCGATATTTGTGTATTATGCATTTATTTAGCGTGAAACGTAGGGGTCCGAGAGAGAACAGCCGATTTATGACACTTCGTTTGATGCGGGTCGGACTAACTTTGAATCGGCATAACTTTTTTAATAATCAAGCAATTAACATGCGGTTTAAAACACATGAAAGGGAATTCATTTACGGAGGGAACAGAGTCAGGGATTTTTGTTTGCTCAATCAGCGACTTAATCATCCTTATTACGTAATATGTATGGTGAAAAAAGTCGCATAAAATGATTGACGTTACGTAATATTTTTTTGAGAAAAGATATAAAAAATATGAGACACGGTATCCCAGATATTATAAGTATGTTTATTTTCCAAAAGTTTGATGACAAAAAAATAAAAAATGACTTTGATATGACGATTTAATAATTTTAGGATTTTTATTAAAATCAATCATTTACAAAGGCATTTTTTCAAATATGTTATTTCTTATGATGATCAACGACATTTCATGCACAAAGATTAAATGAATAACAATTATTACTAAAATAAGTTGGTTTAAATGACATTTATGTGAGTACCACGGAAAGTGTCTGTTGTCACCTTAATGCCTTTCAGTCTTGACTTTCTTGCCAAGAATATCAGCAAAGTCCTTAGCCATATACTGGACTGATGTTTTGCTGTAACCAAACCCAATATTGGCCATGTATGTTATATGGTCATACAGCTTTCGCTCCTCTTCATGGGTAAGTATTGTTTCATGTCCCACTTTAGCATCAGCATCAACACGTCTGGCTCCTGAAAAAGACAAATGACATTTTAAAGTTAAGAAAAATATGTTTTTGACTTCAATATTAAATACAAAATACTCATAAATTTCATATGGCATTTAGTTAAATTTTTTTAAAAGGAACGGCGTTTCATAGTTAAAAAATTCTGACAGCAGGGTCACGTGATCTGTCAAAATTTTCCAGTGAGCAGACAAAGATGTGTAGAATGTGTTATTTGCAATGTTAATTACAAAAGCATGCAGAAAAACGATGAGAAATGGAGAAATTATGTTATAAAAGATACTTACTGCTATTCTAAACATGGTCTTGTGGAAATTTTGCTCAAATACTGAAGCGAAAGTACAGCGGTGCACTGATGCGTGTGTAAACAATCGGCAGGTGGCGCTAGATGTAAATTCTCGCGAGATTTATAAATAGTTCGATACAATGAGCAGATCGATACAATGGGGTTCGAGTATATATTAATAAAAGTATATGCACTTCCTTTAAATCTGTGTTGAAGAATTTTCTTCTTAAAATAATCCGTATCAATAGAACCTACGAGTGAGTTCCGATATATTCATTTGTGACTTATTGAAAGGTATTTCTTGTTTTTCTTAATAGTTGTTTCTCATTTGTGTTTTATTTAACCCAAAATATTGAAATTATGAAACCATTTAGTTATAATTTATAATTTATTTTCTGTTGAGGTTCAATATTTTGTTTCTCATAAAATTTTCATTTTAAAAAGATATATTCTTTAATCTGACATAATGCTCTATTTTTAGAACAGGGTGACTTAACGCAGTACTTTGTGCAAATTAGGTCATTATGATAGTGAGTACAATAAATCAACACGGTATTGCGTTGCAAGATAAAGTTACCACTTACAATTTAAACCGTCCGTTTGTTACTATTTTGATTGTTTACATCTGAAATAAGAATAAAACACTAATTTTAAAGGCGTGTTTAGCACGCTTACATATTTGTTTAATTACAAAAATAGTTATTTTATTATTTAATTCATGTATCTATGAATTCATTAAAGTGTTGAACAATAACTCATAATATCATATTGCAACTGGTTTTTGTTTGCCTTATAGGAGGTATGACTTAGTAGAATTTAGAGAGAGTCTGATCAAACTTTATTAGTTATAAAGGTGGAAAAGGCGTGACCCTCGTTTCAGCGTTAAGCCTTATTATGGACCGATAAACTCATAATTTGAAGAAAAAAACTTATAAGGAGCAAATCATTACTTATAAGATTTATACAAATCTCATAAGAAGTAATGAAACTCTTAGTAACTCTTAATAAAAGGTAAAATAATAAATAAAGAAAGGACACACGCTTTTTTTTAAATGGGGACCATGCGCCGCTTTACATGGATTAAATGTTGAATTCTGCTAAGGATGTGGACGGTAACTTGCACGTCCTTAAAGAACGCCCAAAACGACAAAATTGAAAATGTTGCAGGCTCGGTTTGATTGAGCCTGTTCATGGACGGTACTGTCAAGTGCAAACTTAGCACCGGCTTAAGCAGCATTCAACATTTAACATTTTACAATTTTAAATTTTGAAACATCCGCAGATGTGTTCATACGGCGGTTATCATGGAATCTTCAATGTGACACGTAAGTGCCATTTCATGAAAAGCGGCATATAATCCCCAATTAAAAAATGCGTGTGCCCTAAACGAGAAAACAATGGGCGGAACTAAATAAAATTGAATTTTGAAAGAGGATCAGAGGTTATGAAGCCTGCATATCACAGATAAGACGTCAAAAGACAAATTTAAAAAGCAGGCCACATATCCTAAGCCTAAATGATTCTGTATTAGGCCTCTATAACACCGAGTTATGAGTTTCCAAGTGATTTTACAATATTTTTATTAGGCTTTATTATTCCTAATTAGGACGTAATTGTTATAGAATATTAAGAATTGACACTAGGACACGTCCGTAGCAAAAAGAATAAATAAATAAAAAAAATAAAGTAATGTACATTATATGAAGGTCTTAAAAAGCAAAAAATCACAGGCACGAGTATCGGACCTGGGAAGAAAAAATATGACCAGATTGATAAAAAAAACCTGTGTTCATCTTAAGTAATTGTGACCCGTAGTCAGCTGACATACATGTATTAGTCTATGTTTACGTACCGAATTGTTGTGCCGCAATTCTGTCTACCAAGGATTTTTAGCACGAATTCGCTCGTTTCCTGATAGATATTTCATGAACGGGAAGGGCTAGAGACTTGGGGTTGGTCTCATTTTGAAGCTTAATATAAACGTGAAATAGTGATAAAAGGTTTTTTTAATTGGCTGGCCAATTGTTTTCACAACGGCCCGGGAAATGAATCCCTTGCTCGTAGGCTCGAATCTGGAGTTTCCGGCCTTCTCTTAACATATAGTATATTTTTAAAGGGGGTCATTATTTACATTTTTTTTTGTTGTTTTTGACACTTTTAAGATGAATACAGGTTTTTTTATCAATCTGGTCATATTTTTTCTTCCCAGGTCCGATATTCGTGCCTGTGCAAAAAATTGGAAAAAAATCGACTGCTATTTATCAACAAATATATTATATATAATAAAATGAGGGTTGGTCAATATGTGAAATATGTAATGCAATATGTAATGCAATATTTCTAATAATGCTGGTGATTTACCATCCTATGCTTCAAAGTCAACCGATTAAGAATGTTATTTACATTAAAAATACATTACAAGAGTAACTTCATGTAAAATATGACTGGTAAATGCTTTGTTAAAAGGTTAAAAGTGCTGAAATACGGGCTGACATAATGCTCGAGCAAAAAATTTGATTAACAAGATCAACAAGAAATGGCGGCGTTCATTAAACGCAACCCCACACGACCAAGCAACAAGGACCAGCGACCAGGAGCCCAGGATGACACCAAACAAAAACAGGACAGAGCACAAGGCAGAGCACGGACATGATAATCACTTTAATAATACATAAAAGGAAATAATAGTAACACTAGTAAGACAAGGAAATCAATTTCAATTGTTTGATTAATAGGCCAGCCAACAAAGGAAAAATGCACAGGGGAAGAAGACTTAAAGTAGGGGAAAGGGAGGGAAAAAATAAAGGGCAAAGGGAAGATACCTGAAAAATCTGCTATAAATGTTTTAATGACATTTGTAAAATTTATGGCAATAATGAAGTATCTTGTGCAACTGTGTCGAGGTAGATGCATAAATTCAAATATGGACACGAGTCAATTTAAAGATTGGCGTCCTATATTTTTTCAATACCCATGGAACAGTTATTTCTAGAGGCGACGTTTTAAGATAAATCGAAAAACACTTTTAAAACGTTCGTCCTTCGGCTGGTATGAAACGATTGTTGTTTCTACATGACAACGCTTCTACACAGAAAGGGGCTACTGTAATTAAATTTCTTTCGACCAAAATTGGTAACTGTCCTTAAATGTTCACTTTATTCTCCAGACTTGGCAGCCTGTGAGTTTTTCCATTTTCTTGGACAGGAAACCCCCTTTTTAAGGGTGGAAATGAACTTTCTTCGGCAAGGAGGACTATGTTGATGCATATAAAATGGATTACACCCCATTTGTTTTTTTTGCCCGTGTGATATATCCTGCTTGGTGTCGTGCGCCCCCTTGTCGGTGGTCCTGTGTTGGTCTTGTGTTTCATTTTTTTGTATTTAATTAGGAGCTTATTTTGGTTTGTTGAAATAGAAAATTGTAAAATTTTGTATTTTTTTAAATTTTAAAATTTTGTATTTTTTCTTATTTTGTGTGCCCATATTGCATTATATATTGACCCACCATCGTACCTTTACTTTATTACTGTGACATACACCGTTTGTTTATTTTTGATGCATTTGAATGCTTTGCTTCGAGAACGTTGCCCATCTTTGTAGATAATAATTCTAATCTTATACGTTTGCCAGACATTGGTACATTAAAATATGACAATTTTATACTTTTATATGGTCTATTCAACTGCTTGACCGTATTTAAAACATGGAAGTCAAAGGGATCACAAAAATAGTAGGATGTCCTGCAGTATTAGGGACATGATCACAAAAGACTAGAAAACAAAACAACATTGAATATGATGTAACTTTTTAAAGCAGCATTGCGTCATTTTATACATTCTCTAAAGAATATAGTATCTGAAAAAGAAGATAACCCATCAATACATTTGAAATTGTTAGCTTTAATTCAGTACATTTTAAACACGTGCCCCTATGAATCGTGCAACGTATGCTAGTCAACAAATGGTGAAAATAATAGACACTGAAAAGCTTACCATGTTTAATACTACAATTACAACGGGTGCCAAGATTTACTTAAAACAATAACGATATATAGTATATAATCATATTTGTAGCAGTTTTCTTAAATAAATATATCAACATTTTGGAATGTACCGGCTATTTTACGAGTTTAATTACTGCGGGAATTCAAAGGGTAATTCCCTTACGAAAATTTGGGAATTTCCATTAAATCAAAGTCGATCGTTTAAATTTTATTCAGGTATCGTTTACATATAAATCTATCGACTTATTCAATATTTGTAAAATTTGGTTAGCGTCGGTATATTAAGTCAGTATTTTTTTCTATTTAGCCCCACTCATAAGAACTTTTGTATTTTGTATTGGACAGTATTTAATTTTTTTATTTTTTTACTATGTTTTTACATATTTCGGCTCAGGATTTTAAATTGTTTGCTAATATCTTTTTACAATTTTAGTAATGTGTTTTAAATCCTAGCTGTAAACAGGAGTGTCATTAAATCAAGATTTGACTGTGATATACATTTTTATGACTTAATTAGTACTTTTCAACATGATTATATTTAGGTCTGCCTCTCTATGTCATGCCGCCAATACTAAGGACCACAATGGAAATAAAGGCTTGTCCTTTTTTGTGTTATCCTTGGTGTTGGTGAGCATGTCATAGTTTTCTCGTATGTGATATAGTATTTAATAACGCTCTTTATTTTATCCTATGTTATGTTGTGAACTATGTATATGCTTCCTATGCCGAAATAAATCTATCTATCTACCGACATTTTATACTCCATATAATTTTGATAGAAAATAATTATTCTGGATAAAAGAAATTATTTTACTGACCTACTTACCCAAACCAAACTGGCATGGGTCGTGGGAGGGGAAACAAATATGATTTTAAGGCTTGCCGTATGATATATTGCCTTTTATATTGTCCACTTCTATCAAGTACTATCAACACTTCTATCAAGTGCCATCAAGGAATAATTCAAGACGATATTTAAAATTCATTTATTTATTTTACAGTATAAATAACAGGTGAAATACTGTTTTGTTGAAAACAAAAAGGAAGAAACTGACAGTCCAAATACAATCACTCATATGCGCTGCAGATTGCCTGATTCAAAACACAGTTGATAACATGGCAGTAAGAAACGATAGTATTATTTTTACTTTCATTTGATCTTTATATCTTTAATTTTTGTTCGATTGAAGCCTATTTATGTCAGGAATATTCATTCTACAAACACTAAGTAAACTTTATGTAAAGTAGAATATTATATATATACAAATAAGAGAATATACATATACACATATACCACCACATCGATATGCCAGTCCAATTACGGCACAGCGTCTAGCAAAACAGTTATGAAAGTATAACCACTGCTCAACCCCCATCACAAAAAATGATGGTTTCAGAACAGCTTTATATACAGTCACAAACTGCACTACACATTGAAACAGGCTCAACATTCGCATATATAGAGTTTGTTCTCTGTTATCATGTCTCACAAATCAACGATGACATTTTTATTGTCTTTTTCACTGATTATATATTATATATATATTACACAAAAATTGTCAATTCGGAGCCGGGACTCGAACCACGGGTCTCTAGATTGCCAGTCCAGTATGCTAAACACAACGCCACAGCCGCTATTGCGTTTGTTTTCTTCGTGCTAAGTAACATTTTATTGTGGCTACATCACTTTTATTACTATATAGCAGCGAGTTATTTATAGCTACTTTTATTTCAGTCACATTCACATTAATAGCAAACAAATTTATTATTTAATTAAGACACTACCGCCCCAAAATGAATATAGATCTATATCACTGTTGTACGCGTTTTACCGGAAAAAGGCTCCTCAAAACATCGAAAACGAAGTTAAAAAAGTAACGAGGTAATGTTTCAATTTATTTCTCAATCATAAATCAATCGATTTTTTCAAACTAAACAATTCTGTAAAGCTTAAAAGTCTGGTTTTGGAGAAGTATTTGCTTTTTTCTTCAAATTAAATACATTTTGTTAAATTGGTGTTTGTAGCGTTTTTGTTCAAAATTGCGAACGTTGTTCATATTTACCACTAAATCAAGCCCAAAACGCATTTGTTGTTTCAAAATCCGTATTTAATGAATAAATAGACTTTCTTCTTCTGCTTGTGCTTCAGTGGTCATCCATTAACTCGAGCTGCTTTTAGAAAAGTTTGCGATTTTTTTAATTGTGTACAGAGTCTTGCAAGAAAAACAAATTTAACTGAATGGGGTGTAGAAGTTTCATGTACAGGGTTTAGTAAAATATGAACGCTTTCTAGTGGTCGCATATTTTGTCATTCGGTAAATTGTTTATCTTATTAGTGTTTTTGAGCATAACAGTAATACTTTTAATTTATATTGCAAAACCATCAAGACTATTTAAGCTGAATAGTGTCTGTTGGTATAATTAAGGCATGTTAAAAAGTCTTCTGACCAATTTGCTGAATGAAAATGGTCCGATTGCAGGGATATACACAAATATACACATAAGACAAGTCGATTATTGATCAGACACTTAACAAATTATGCAGTAGGATTATTTTCTACAAAACGGCATTAGCATGTGTCTTCCATATACTTTTTAGCGGCCATGCATAAGCTATTATGTCGACTTGAAATTGAGACACTTGAAAAATGTTAAGTTAAATGTTAAATTTTAATTTGGCAGACTATCAAACATTTACATTCAACGTTTACAATCAACTATACGTGTCATTCAACCATGTTGCCTTAACTTACTGCATTGTTATATGTGGTCATCTTTTATCTTTAGTTCACAATGCATAGCTCAATCATGATTTGGCATTGTTCAGACAAATTATATAATTCTACTGTAACGTTGTACATCTTTCATGAAATAAGGTCTACAGAGTTTTACTTTTTTCCTTTTAAGTCAAAGTCACGCATATGAAGGTCTAGCAGGACGGAAACTGTTTACTATAGCGTACTGCCATATATATTCATGTTGTGTATAATGTTAAAAAGTTAATTATCTTCTTTATCTTTTTTAATTTTTATCCTTTGAAAATTATTAAGATTCTTCACTTTACGATCCATGTTTCTGACATCGATATTCCTTAATCAGCGTACGATTTTGCTGTGGTACTTAAAAAGATGGCATTCGTTTATATACTACAAAACAGTGTTCCATCTACACACCGTACAGAACCGTGCTAAACTCTGTACACAAGTCGCATGTTTTGCTAAAAGCAGCTCGAGTTGATGGATGGCCACTCAAATACAAGTAGAAGGAAGTCTATATTTTACATTAAATACAGATTTTGATACAGTAAATGCGTTTTCGGCTTGATAAAGTGGAAAAAATATCAACAACGTTAAAAAATTGCTACACATACGCTACAATTCATCACTCATTAAACAAAAAGTATTCAATTTACTGAAAAAAAGCAAAAAATGCTCTAAAACAAGACACTTTAATCTTTATAAAATTTGTTCGGAAAAATCGATTGAGTTATGATGGAGAAATAAGTTGAAACATCACCTTGAGTGAACTTGATGTAAACCTTTTTACTTTCGTTTTCGATGTTTTGAGGGGCTATATCCAGAGAACGCTGTACAACAGTGTACATGTAATTTTTTTATTGGCATGTCCATGTATATAGTACTGAATGTTTTTCTTGCTATTTTAAGGGAGAAGTGTTTCAAAATCGTAAAAGGAAATCGAGGTAGGATATATTATTCATACAGTATACGTATGTAAAAGAGTTTTTTTATTAAATGTGTTTATACTTAGAGAAGCTACATAGTTTCTCAGTTGATAACATGACATATACCAAACTTAAAGGCTCCTTGTGGTTGAGGGGCTGCTTGATCGTAACCATGCAACGCTTAGCCCAAGAAGGTGAGATCTTTTTGACCCATGATGCTGTCTTTAAAAGTTTGTAACAACCGAGGTTAGCCAAATCATCTTTCCTTTTTTCTGCGCCATATGACCTTTTCTAAGTTGGTTAGCCGGAAAACCACGGATTGTAAGTAAAACTTAACACACCTCACCAAACTGACAGGTTACTGAAAAAAAACATTCTCTTGAGTAATTCACATGAGCAATGTTATCTTATGATGCTAAACCAATTTATAAAGAGAAATATATGTCGGTGGATGAAAAAATAGTTGTACATAGGCTATCCGATCTTTTGTTCTTCCTGAAAGTGCCCATGTGTATTTTCTGAGCAAATATTATTTTGTTTTGTTTCGGTCAAGTCATTAAAAATGTATGTACAATTGTAGAGAAGAACACATTCAAGATAGTGATGATGGAAGAGCAAAGCGTTCTAAACAATACACAGCTGAAGGTATGTATTCCTTACAATTAAGAATTAAAAACCTTGTAAAGAAATCCATTAATTAAAACTTACTTTGTTGAATTAAATATTATATTACTTTTTCAAACGTACTGAAACATAATATGTTATCTGGATTAATCAGAAGTTACTCAATTTACTGCCTGTTTCAAAAGTGACATAAAGACTTTTAGTTTAATTTTTTTATCACATACCCCTGCCGCTTATGCGCCTCGATAAATTTGGTATTACACGGTCCTGTGTATATTTTGACGTGGCGTCACTTACATAGAGTAAAGACGTGCTTTATGTAAGCGTTACATTATTTAGATGATATTATGCTCGACTGATGATTGCAATATTTAGTATAAACCAACACTCATTCAATATTTTCTATATTTATTGATTTTATAAACAGGTTAATGTCGGTGTTAAATATGATCTTTTTAGAAGGTTGTGCTAGTGATCTAGGTACATCATTTTTGACATTTAAAAATGACGCTTAAATGATCACATACACACATACACATACTTTGTCGAATTTTTCAGATCAAAATGAAGAACAATTTCTTACTCCAGAAAAACATGCTAATGGTCAAAATAACACAGATGCTCTTAATGTTACTGTCAACAGGAATTTTATGTTCAACGGAACAACAACACAACCTCCATTACATGGAACGCCATGCCAATTCGAACATACATCGCCTTGCTCTTCAATTATAGGTGAGGTATTATATACGAATACTGTAAAATGATTAATTGGCAGTTGTGTTTTTATCATTTAACAAAACATTCAAATATTATTGTTTTCATGGAATATTTAATGTTTATACAGGGACCGACAGAATGGAATGTAAAACTAATATATCTATAACACATGAGAGGCGATCTTCCTTAGATTCAGGAATAACGTACACATCAACGAATGCAGCATCATCACCACATGCAGATGCGCACTCAAGTGGCATTGGATCATTACTAGGTAATTGATGATCTTCTGAAGTTTCTGTTTGAGACTCTAAACGTAGTTGAATTTATTTTTATGCCTCGGACAACAGTAATTCAACAATTCGTCCATCCATCCGCACGAGGTAAACCTAAAGCGGTTATTTGGATTTTACGTTCTACCTGTACAATGACTTATAATTTACACACTTACTAATCAACATAAAGTACATGATCCGGGCGAGTAACATAACTATGCCTTCCATTTGTTCCAAGCTATTGCCCCTTTTAGAACTTTGAAAAAGGATATGGTTATCATTAACCGGCAATTTGGATATACATTAAGTTCTACCTGTACTAATTGTTTCATGTTTCCACACTTACTTATCAATACAAAGCATGATATATTGTTTAGTTTTATAACTGTGCCATCCATTTTTTCCCAGTTATTTCCATTTTTACCACTTTAAACATAGGGCCATGTATGGTTAACCTATTCCGGAAAGAAATTTCTCCTAATTACCTCTTTATTTAATGATATCATCAGTATTTGGTAGCTAGATACCTTCAATGATCTATATTTTTAGAGTAAGTAGTCACTTGGATCAAGGTCAAGGTGTAAACAAAGAAATAATTTTTTTTTGCTCATACAGCTTTTATTTTCAAATTAATGTGTTTCATGTTTAATACTGACAAGTCCTTTTCCTTTGGGTTTAGTCAGGGGGGCAATGTCGAAAAAAGATCTTAAGGCTTTAACACGTGTAACCTAATTCTACTTCAGATGTCTTTAATATTTGGTAAGAACATGAAATTGAGAAGTCTTCTCCCTTTGAATGGAGTTTGGGATCAGCAGGGTCAAAGTCACTTATGCTATAAATAGATTTATACAGTTTTGTCCATGCAACCTCTATTTATTCACAGATGTCTGAATTCTGCTTAAGCCGATGAAAGGGAGGCGTGGTTGTCAATACCGCTCATGAACAAGCTCAATAAAACCGAGCCTGCAACACTTTCAATTTTGTCGTCTTTGGGCTTTCTTTAGGGATTTTTTGCATATTTAGTTAGAAGATACTTACATGGCATTCTTTCTTTGGATTGAATTAGGGGTCAGTTGGTCAAGGTCAAGGATGCCATAAATAGATTGCTACACATTTGCTTATACTGTCTTTGTTTGACTTTTTTTTCATATTTTGTAGAATGATTTTTTGTGCGGTCTTCTTTCTTTAGAAGTTTGGGGTTAGTTGGGTTATGATCAACACTGCAAAAAATTAATTTTTACAATTTTTGCCCATACAGCCTTGCTTTATGGACATATGTCTTTCATATTTGGTTGGAAGATATCCTGTATGGTCTTCTTCCTTTGAAATGTGTTAGGATAAGTGGGTCAAGGTCAGGGATGCCAAAAATAGATTTCTAAAAGTTTTCTTATACAGCCTTTCCTTACACACTGTAGTTTTTCATATTTTGAGGAACATACTTATACAGTCCAGTGTTCGGAGTCACAAATCAAGGTTACTTGTGCTGACAATATATTTTTACACTTTTTTGAATACAGCCTTTGTATTATTTTACTGAATGTCTCATAATTAGAATGAACATAACTCAGGTGGTCCTTTGTGTCTGGTCGGGGTTTGGGATGACATGGTTCAAGGTCAAGACCCTGCATTTATGTACATTTGATTATTTTTCATGGCAAAGTTGCATATCTTTTACTTTAACTTCATCGCATAGCAATGACATGCCAACTTATAATTTTCACAAAAAAATATTACTTTGTTTATAATTTTGGGCAATTTGTCTGTCCATAGTTAAAAGAATGGTTAAACTTTAAAAATAAGTTATGACTGACACGTATCTGGGCCGGGGGATTTTGTGTTTAACAAACACGTTCTTGTATTTAGATGATATTATATTGTCAATACCCTTTAATGGAATATAAAAATAGCATTTATGGAAAAAGAATGCATAGACAGTATCTAGGAACAAGTTTGTCGTTTTATTTTTCTAATAGATTTCATTAATACAACATAAATTAATATTCATTATTCGTACAGCATGTTTTGTTTATGTTAATTATATATAGTAAATCACTTTGCATGTATCACTTGATTTGTATTTAAAGCAATGGAATGCAATGTTGAAGATATGCAGACCTCAGATGAAGCAGATTCTTTCGAAATGAAGACGGTATGACATCGATTCAATTGAAATTTATAGCTTTAAAGCGATTGTGCCTTTGCTGCAAAACAAATTCTTTAACTTGGTTCTTATTTAAAGTTATTAACGTATGATATCTTAACGTTCTACAAACGATATTATATTATGTTTAAAAAGAAATGAAATGACTTGTTACATTCATTTTAATTATTATACGTTTGCTATATAGAGTAAGCCGAGCTAAAAGTCAGAGATGATATCTCTTTAAAGACAAAATGCATCCATGCTAACAGAGTAGAGAACATTAGCTTTTCTGTCTGAGAAGAGTGGAGTTGAGAAGAGAAGAATAGAAAAGCCATTTGATGAGAACAAATTGTCTCCTTTGTTTGATGTCCTTCTAGAAATATATAAACAACCACAAAAAGAAGACATCTTAATCATGTTTTTTTTTAATTTTATATTGGTAATCGTTTAGGGAACCAAACATATCACGAGCACAATTAAGCAAAAACGGATGCAAAAATTCCTCCAAAGGAAATTTGTTTTCCTGAAAAACGAACTTATTCCCTTGGATATAGCCGATAGGCTTCTGAGCTTTGAGGTTATAACAGATCGAGATATTGAGGATATACGTAATGTGAATGGTAGAGGCCAAAAGAGTGAGTGTATGATAAAAGCAATTTATCGCTCGCTGGAAAACAGTGATCCTGGTGTCGTTCGAAAGATAAAAGCTGCATTTTCAGATGTAGGCTATGACTATATCTTCAAGGACTACAAGGAATATTCTCTGTCTGGTAAAACACACAAATTTAGTTGTTTTATAGTCTCAATGAATTATTTTATATTAAAGGATTCATCACTAAGTATAAATTGAATATGTGAAAATAAATTAATTTTGTTATCAAATAAAAGTTGTGTATACCTTTGAATATTTCAGTGAGAATTTAAGTACATTTTAATGTTTCAGGTAAAAGAAAATCTCCACCTGGTTTATCTTTATTATGGAAGGAAAAATTAAAATCGTTTGAACTTGAATTGGAGGATGATCTGGATCCACGTTTTTTTATTGATCAGTTAGTTTCTGAAGAAGTTCTTGAATTTGACGAGCACCAAAACATCTTAGATGTGAACTTTAAACCGGAAAAAATGAATTGCTTGTTTAGATACCTTCACAGAAAAAATGAACAGACGTTCGAGGACTTTTGCAAAGTGCTCAAAATTGCTTATAACAAAAACACCCTTGTTGATAAACTTTGCAGTTCACAGTATGTTAGTACCATAGAAATCGAAAAGCTTAAAGGTATATCTAGATAAATAAATAAATACATAAATAAATAAATAAATAAATAAATAAATAAATAAATAAATGAATAGATAAAGAAAGAAAGAAAGAAAGAAATGATTTAATAAATAAAAAGATAAATAGATAAATAAATATTTTTTTTGCTTTTTCATAATTTAATATTCTCTGAACTTTAAGTCAAAATGCATATCAGATAATTTAATCCCTTGTTGCCGTCGTATTTTGTAGAACACAAGCCGCATCCTGAAGTAAATCTCGGAAGTACAGAAGAACCAATTTGCCAAATGAGTAAGTTTAGTTTGAATTGCATTCATAAAAAATAATGCAGATTGTAAAAAATAAACATTTCCAGTTATTGAATGTTAAATCTTCGATCAATGCATACCAATTATTGTAAGTTATATAATACCTAACAATTGAAGTTACATAAATTGGACATGTTGTTTTGTCCTGAAGTTTGACATATTTTATCATCAGACATTCACAGAGAATCATTAAGCATTAGTACTCAAAAATTAGTAACTCGTGTGCTTCAGCATCGTCTACAATTGGACATATAGAATTTCGAATTGACGGAGAAGCAAGAGATATCGAAAAGATGATAGTTGATGACAATAATCCTATTCCAAATGCAAATTTACAAGAAGAAGTAAGTTGCTCTGTTCATTTCCTTTATTTGATTGAACTTGGTTAGCTTTACCACTTTATATGTAAATTTGTTATAACCTTTAACATTTCTGTTATAATGTTTACAGTTTTCTTTTTTTTTAAATTATGTATTACATTATTGAACACTGAATTAATAAATCATTACAGGTTATGGATATTGTCGCATATGAAATCGTTAAAACAACATTTTCATCGATTCGCATAGTTTTATCAGCATTATCGCACTCCTCAGAGATGCAGATCGTAAAGAAATGTAAACAATCGCCTGTTTTTCTGGTGAAACTTCTGCAAAATCTTATCAAACCTGAACATTTCAAGATGTTAGAGGAAAGAGGCATAAAACGTATCTTCTTTGAAATAAAAGTAAAGTTGCCAGGTATAATTAATACGCTTTGTATGAACTTTTAATATATTCAGTGCCATTTATCATGTTTCGAAATTATCAAAATTAAGATCACCAAGCCTGCGGTAGAGGTAAAGAAGATGAAATATGCTACATATAGTACATGCATATGTCTGTTTTTTAATTAGAATTTTAATAGGTCATTGAAATTAAACACTGTATTCTGGAAATCTCATTGACCGTTATAAAATATAATAACAAAGATAGTTTTTGCCAATCTAAAAAATAAAAATCTTAGGATAGTTTTAAATTAGATTGTAAACTATAGTTCTATGGAGGCTTTTCCTTGCCCTTATGTTAATTAACCAACTTTAGTTCCTGCATATTATAATGCTCATTATCAGTATAAACGTTGCTTCGTTTCATTGTTACGTTATATCTTAACAAATTTTGCATTACTTGAATATCCTGTGCTAGAATACGTTTCAATAAAATCAAAGGATATTCAAAGTCAACTGTAATGCATTTGATGTTTATGGCAATATAATTTGATTTTTTTTTGTACCAGTAAGAGTTACCTCTCTTTATATTTTGCTTTTGCGACAATTGGCTCCGCCTATTAATTTTCGTCTTTATCCATGATAATGTCATATATGGAAGTTTTCAAACTCTTTTACAAATGTTAATCGCGTTAGAGTGTAAAAGCAAAGTGTGGTGTTGTCGACCTGAGAGTGTTAACTGATGCAGTTACACTCTCAATGTCATGATGCACAGCATTAAACGTGTTGTGTACGTTCTATCGTTTACATTTCAACATGTTGCAAATTTGAAATTACACATGGTTAAATATAGTTTGCAATTTATCTAAGTTGCATGTTAACAGCTTCCATTTTATCAATTCGAGATCATTAAAACGCTTAATACCAAAGCAGTGTGTAACTTTCGGATCGACAATTAGATTTTTACTTATCTGTTTAGTAGAACCGAAGTATGCATTGTCAAGTTTCAAAGGCTCTGTTATAAGTTAGGAATACATGCATGTTACAGTATTGCATTTTTTCAAGTTTAATCACCCAATTGATTATTCTATTCAAATTTTGTTTGGATCCAACTTTTATTGTTTTTATAAAAATAAACAATTAACATTGTGAGCAAAAATGAACTGTAAGGAAGTTATTGAGTATTTCTTTTAAAACTTTTGTTGAATTAAACCCAAAAGCGTTCGCAAAATTAATGTGGTGGGGTCTATCTCTAATCATCACAATAGTTTTTTTTACATCGTTGATTCTTTTCGAATTCATCAAAGCTGTTTGTATTAAATTAAAGACAAAATGTTTTATTGATTTTATATTTCCCATTATTCTTTTATTTCTATTCATAATAGTCCATATGTGATTTTTTAAAAATATTTTCCGACACTATTGCATATCATTACAAAATTTATAAAATCAAATTTAAAAAAACAAGTACCAGAGACATCTATTACATAAATACGTTAAAATAGAAGTTGTCCTATTTGAGGAGATATCAATATGTTTTTTTTTATTTAATTTCTATGGTTCTTCTTCTTCGCTACAATAAATGATAGTCATTTCTATGTGTATCGAAACCTTAAATATAACATATATAATCTAACAAGTTTTACACTGACCAAATATCTAAAAAAAAGCCCTTCTTGTCACTTCTTGTTACACAAGCGGTATTATTTGGTATGCAAAGTCAAAAATTGAATCTGTTTCAAAAAAGAGTGAACCTTGAAGGCTACGAAAATTCACGCATATATATATATATATTCAATAAGAATGTGCGTTTTCAATTTAACGTCTTTTATAGATATGATTTCTTTTTACCTATTCCTTGCTTAATTTCAGGGAGTGAACATATTTCAAAAACCGATATTGTTAGAAACAAAGACCTGCTATGCAAAGAACTAACGAAAGAAGAAATATTGCAATTCCTAGGAGAGACCGACACCGATGATCATGTGAAGGCAATTGAAGACATGAAAAAGGCTGAAACGAATACACAATGCGTCATAAAATTGGTGGAATTCATTGTTAGCGAAGGAAACGAAATGTACCCGGAAACGTTCCTTGAATATTTGAAGAAGCATAACAAAGATGAACTTATCTCAAAATTGTCAAGATTGCGTTAGTCATACAATTTTTTTGTGGTTTTGATCAATATTCACATCGTGGATACTCATTATATAAGTGTCGTCATAGAATGTTAATGGCAATCCTTATAAGAATACGCATTTTATTTTGGAACTTTCTGGTTTTCTTCAAGTTTTGAGTTTATACTACAACGTTTACATGCATATGTATTTTTATCATTTCTATTAAGAATTGTCAACATACCGGTAAAACAATAAATCATCGCTTATATAAACACATTTGTCTTATTTACAGAATCATGTTCTTGCACAATTACAAAAAAAGAACATCGTTGAGCATTATTCGTTGATTGAAAAAGAATTGACAGATGTAGATTCGATTATCAAAGCATTCTCTGAGTATGCTGACTTTCCTGCAGATTTAAAAGACAAATTTAAGAGTGTTTTAAACAGTTCACATCCGGAAGTGAAAGTTGATACGTTTTTACGACATCTTTTGGCATTACCAGATGATGGGATACAGCTATGTTTACTTGAAGAACGCTTACATGCTACAGATCAGGTTGATTTACTTGATAAAATAACGAAGATGTCAGAAAACAACGAAGGTAACACTCACTGCAATGTATGGGCCAGAAACCATATATATTATTTATCATTAAAATTGTTAATGTTTCTGCAAGATATGTAATATTAATAATATATTTGTACTTATTTCCATGAGTATTGGACAATCTTGCAGTAATAAGGTTAGGTACTTTCCTATAAAACGCTTGATCCAAGTTTGACTAATAAAGTTGAACTTGAAATCGAAAACTTAGCTTAATGTCACTTTAACTTTATGGTTTTTTTATACAAATAAAGTATATAATTATGTATCTACAGTATCGAAGCTTATCTTATAATTTCAAAAAATGACACAAATGACGAATAATGTTTTTGCTTTGCATATCGAAGTAGATTGTAACGAAGAAGAAAGCAAACTTAGCATCTTTGGAATTTCAATGTATCAACCTTTTTATTCAGTTGATGTTCAAATTACTGAGGATGACATTCGAAGAAACAGGCTTTACCTGTGTGATGAATTAGAGCCAAAGCAATACCTAGAAATGGTGAAAGAGATTGACGAAACTGACGATCTATGTGAACAAATTCTTGAAGCATCATCTAGAGAATCTCGATGTGAAGTCCTGCTCGATTTTATATCAAACGCATGCAAAACAGACAGTAAGGCACACATACTGAGAAAATTTTCACAAAGTCTGCTCAAATGGAATGCCGGTGTACTACAGTATATCAGAAAAGCTCGAAAACCTGGACAAGAAGGCAGTAAGTATTTATTTATAAGTAAACCGTTCATTTAAACAAACGCGGTGTTTTATTTCCAGTGATGCGGCTTCTTTGATCGCTACATGTCTTTATTTCCTGAAATAAACAACAGAACAAACAACATAGTATGTCAGTATATGTTAATATTATTTGTGTAATATTTCCTCATTCATTGTGTCTTCAGAACGCCAGATGGAAATAGAGAATATCGTTGCTTCATACAAGCACATTGTTGACGAAATTGAGCCATTAAGTCTTATAAGATTCTTTAAAGAGCGGGAAGAATTAACAGAAGATGAAATAAGATGTATTCGTAGATCATCATCCCGCAGAGCAAGAGCAGTCACTTTCCTTAATTTTGTACTAAAAGGAACAGAATCAAAAGTGTCTTGTTTGATAGACTATTTGAGATTGGCTGGCTACAATTCATTACTTAAGAAGATGCGTGAATGTATGCGTAAGCGATTTAATGGCTTTAATAATTTACAGTATTTAGCTGGACAATTCGTTAAATATTGATATTTTCCTACACATGTTAGTGCCTGCATTTAAGTCGGTCATTTTATAATCATAACTCAAACATATTCTCTTAAAAATTATTAAGTCTTTGAAATTTAATTTCACACCACCTATGAATCTAGCATAAATTCGTTTCAAATCAGACAAGTATAGTGTAAGAAGTTCATTTTACATGTAATTAATTCCCACGCCTTATACGTAAATGCATCTGGAAATAACGCAACTTATGATATGGTTGTTTTAGAATCATTTTCCTACATACACATAAGCGGCGGGTGCACATATTTGAGTATATGTATCATTCTTATCAATAGCATTTATTTACAGAAGAATACAAAGAATGTCCAAGATTATATGCATTTGACTTGAAGGGATGTTATGTATTAAAAGGTGACTTAGATATTAATTTCAATAGTGGTAAGTTTATTACATTTTGTTCTTGTGTTAAATGGCTATACAAATCATATAAGTAATTTCGCTAATTCTTTCTGAACTTGGCCTTAATACAGGCTTAAATATTTCATGACTAAAATATCTTGTATATTAATATATATCTTTATATGAAATAAAGCTGTATACCTCAAGATATGAAAAAACGAAATAATGAATAAAATTCGTTAATTATGCGCGCTTTAGAAAACTGTAAAATCGTCTTTGTTGCATACAATAAGTTAATTATTTCTTGAATGGTCAAATCTTTACTTTTTAAAAATCTTACTTCATTTAAATCAGAGTCAATTTTTGACTTGACATAATTTTGCCCATCTGGAGGCAAGCAACTTTAAACAATTTATTGAAATACCAAGAATTTATTTAGCACAATAACAACATAACATACGCTTACATTTAACACACTAGGGAAAAACACACACGAGCAAAAGTCTTCAAATGTTCCAAAATTTGAAAAATGGTCACTAGTCACGAATTGGGTTCTTCAAAACTTCTGTAAGTATTAAATCATTTCTTTTTTTTTCATTTAAATAAAGATAATTTATGTACATAATACGAAATGTAAATGTTGTGCAATGTAAATGTTGTTTGAATTGTCATTTTTGAAACCTTATGTAATAACTTAAAAAAACAATTTAGATATCTAAAATCTGTAGACGAACGTAGATAATAAATATTTAAGTTGGATGTAACATTTTATTGAATTAAATTTAATCAAACAAGTGCCAGGAAATACAATAAAAAAACCGCAAACAAATTTGTTTTGATTGTTTGTCACAAATAGAAAAGGTATAACATATTATAAAATATTGCAAACCCCTTTCGACGCCGGCTTAACCAGTTAATAGTTTTATGTCTATTTATGACGCACTAAAATTTCAAAAGTAACAATATTTGAATAATTGAATGAAAAACAAATGGTTTTACCTTGATTTAAGTCTCACAAAAAAGAAAAATTGAGGAGCAAAATGCAAAAGAAATTCGTGAAGATTCCCAAAGACTTCTGGATGAAGCAAAATGTACAACGAGTTATGAGAATGTTCCGAATAAACCAGGTAAAGTGTAAAATTTAAAATCCTCGCGACTTGATTTACATTAGGTCAATGGACTTTTGCAAGGATTTGTTTTCTTCAATGTGTTTATATATTCATTATCCTAAACTTTCTTCATCAGTTTTCGCTGAGGGGTTGCCTCAAAGGACTGAGACATCAAAAGGGGCGACTACATCTATGCATCATTTTGCTCCAGAAGGTGAAGGGGTTTTAACCCCTGGTGCTGCTTTACGTTTCTAACACCAAAGGTTGGCAAGAATCATCTGTCCTGTTCCGGCGTCATATGACCTAAATTGTGTTGTTGCGTCTTAAGATAAACAATACAAACACAAATCAAATGTTTAATTTCTATAATAAAATCGTAATTGATTATTCCATCTCTTATTTTTAAATATTTGTTTTGTATTTAATTGATAATAACCCTGACGTTTTTATTGTGCTATAAATATCTCAGCCCACAAATGAAAAGAAGTGCGTATTAGAATAAGAATAGCCAAGTCAGTGCATCTAAATACAAAATAGAGCCTTTATTATCACTTGATGTGCGTTGTCGCCAACAAGAGCATTTGTCGGCAAAGACAATTTTTTATTTAAACAACTTGGTCATTTTTTACCATTTTGATCAATTTTAACATTTTTGTTTTCAAAAGCAGTCGCGCAGAAGGTGATGTTTTGTTAACTCAATTAAGGTTAAAGAGATAATCAAGTCTTTCACACAAAAACGTGTAATTGACAGACACCATTCTTCGGGGTTTTGTTTACGATACCCATGTAGGAATCAATAATGCTTAATTGTGTTATGATTGCATTAAGAGCTATCGTATGAGCGTTTTGCATTATCTAGCAAGTCTGTTTAAACGTACTTCAACAATACCCTATCAAAGATAGTTTCGCCCGAAGACACATTTGTATCGTCCATTCAATTTTCCAGGGCGGCATTTATACCTTTTATTTGTGTTATCATTGACTTGCAGTATATAGTTATCAACAATGCTTAGATGTATCATATACCAAGTGTGCATTTTAAATATTTGTCTTTCATGCATGTTCAAATAGAAATCTTTTTTCACAACGAATAACTTCTGTGCAATTGTGCAATTGTTTTCAGATGAATTGGTACATGTGCAAAAAGGAAAAACGGAACCCGCCCACTCTGAATTACTAGACAACGAGCGTGAGACCAAAATAATAGAAACATGTACTGCAACATTTTGCTTCTTTATAAGTTCAAACATCATAGACTTAGTTTATGAAATTTAGCATATTAACGTTTTTCTTATTTAATCAATTTTCATTGAATACGTTTTATTATTATTAAAAAAACACCATCTCTGCAGATCGACCTACATAATGTGTGGATACTGTGATTCCGTTTTGTTGAAAGTGGTTATTGAAACTGTGACTTTGTTTTAAGTTAATATAACCTTAATGGGACGAATACTAACATTCCTTTTCTTTCACATTTCCAGTTGACAATGATGAGAGAAATAAGATACATGATTCTGCACGGGACAATTTGGAGTTACTTGTAAAATATGCGGAAGTCGAACATTCAAGTTTTTTACTTACCACTGGCTCCCCAATGTCAGGCAATGAGTGTATTCGAAATCATGACGTTTATGATAGAAACAGTTCAAGTGGTAGTCCTGTGTCTACACAAAGCCGTATTTCAAGAACCACGTCTACTGAAGACGATAAAGACATTGACGGAGATGCGGCCCTACGTCGATACGATGAGGGCAATGTATAATAACTTTGTATTAAGAAACAACTGGTCGGTTTAATGATTACATTGTTCACATTGATGTTAATAGGAAATTGTTTGTGTATGTTAGAACGTTTTTTTTTTAAATATAACAAAACCTAATTAAAACAAATACATAATTTTATAGACTACTCATTTTCATGTCTGATCCATTTTTTACTCTTTCTTTTAAAGTGTTTTCTCGATCTTCTAAGATATCTTGTCATAGAACAGGGCCTTTCAAATTCTATTTAAAAGGCCTTGCATAGAATAATGAAATACTTAATAATAGTATACTGATGTCATCATAGGTTAACCCCTTCTTTTTATGTCACTGGTTGACAAGGCAAGCCTAATAACCTACTCAATAGCTTTTCTCTTATCAACTGTATCATTTGTAAAAACTTCACTCTAGGTATAAGCTAATATAGGTAATTTGATCTCTTATAATTTATGTTTTGTTTTACATTAATTAATGGCATAACAAAATAATATAATCTTGCTACATTATTTTGATATTAACTCATTGTTTTCTAACAACCAACGGTCTTTAAAGGCAGATGCAATTTAGACGCTATACTCATTCATTTTTCTTTTTATCGGAGAATATTAAATACCAGCATTGTATCTAAAAAAGTAAGCACAAAATTAAGTATGTAGTCAAAGAAGTAATATCTTGTGTGGACAATCTTTTTTAAATTTCTTAATTTTAATAAGGAGCATATGCACTTACATTATAGCTCTATACCATTCTTTAAGGTGTTTGTTTGTAACTTGATTAATTTGAACACACATATATTTCTATTTGATTATATGGCCTTTCCTGTACTAAACTACTGGGTGTGGACTGTGGAGCCTTCAGAATTCATAAATTTGATCATTTATACTTCCAAATGTTTTTTCACGGAAATAGACCATGCATTATCGTAGTTAATTAACTAATGTTACTAACAAAAAGACATTTGAGCCGCGTCATGACAAAACCAACATTATGCGTTTGCGACCAGCATGGTTCAAGACCAGCATGTGCATCTGCACAGTCTCATCAGGATCCATGATGTTCGCTATCAGTTTCTCTTCTTGTTATAGGGTTTGTAAGCGAACATCATGGATCCTGATCAGACTGCGCGGATGCACAGTATGATCTGGATTCATACTGGTCGCAAACGCATTATGTTGGTTTTGTCATGGAGCGGCTCAAATTTTCTACCACATAACACATACCTTCACTCATGGTTATTGTACAAATAATATAATAAAGCAAATGTTAAAGCAAAAGGTAGCAACAATAAATATTTGTATTTGTATTGTTACCATTCATTTGACATTTATCATTTATTTAAGAAAATATCATTCAAAATAGAGGAGACAGACATTTACTTATGCACTTATTTGCACCAAACTGTCAAATGAATAATAAAGTTAATGTAAATAACATGAATCATTTTTATTCTATCAAATCTATGGCTGAGCAAAGTTTCTAGATAGTTCACTACTCAGATATTAGGTGTGAAATGTAAAAAAAGTACATACAGATATTTGCTATCATGTGGCATGAATACATCTGTATTTTTCTATATGACTATAGGCTTTAAGGAGCCTTTGCATATTTGATCATAGTGACATTTTTATCATGTTGTTATTTTTGTTAAATATGAAAATTCATGAATTGACTCTGTTTAATGAATGACGTTTTGCTAAGACATTGTACGAAAGCCAACGCGCCGTCTAGTAGATATGCATTTGTTCATATAGCAATGGGGAAAATTTTAGACTTGATTTTGTGCGTTTTTTCTTGTTTTAACAAAAGTACATTGTTTTCAAATGTTCTAATAAAATAGCTTTTCTGATGTACAACATGTCACAGAGATTTAAGGATTAAAAAACGTTTAACTGAAGTGATAGTGCCATGTTTGAATATCATACTCTTTTTACAATTATTTAATTTTATCTACCTTATAAATAACGTGCCAATGAGCCAGTCTGTGGTCGATCGTTCTAGTCTAATGAGTGGAACCAAATTCGGACAGGGAACAAGAGGTACAGTATCATTAAAATACGCAACGGAGATTTTATTGGCGATACGGACACAGCGGAAATATTTTTTGCAAAACAGGCAAAACGTGTTCGACATGTAGTTCATGAAAATAATTAACATTTCAGTTATAAAACAGTTTAACTGATTGAAAAAAGTACGTTTATTTTAAAATGTATCACAAATATTTGCAATAGTTTATTCTGAAGTATTCTGTGACTGACGATTGTTCTTTTTCTCCTTGATTTTTTACTACATTTAGTGAGTGGTCCTATACCTAGATTCTAGGCGAATATGCAATCTTTAGTTTAATCAAGTAGTGTAATCTTTTATAAATAAGAAAACAATACGTAACAAAGAATTGATTATATAGATATCAATTTATTCATAACTATTATTTGATATTACAGACATACGAGTATGTTTGCTTTTTGTAAAATAATAGACAGTTCGTCCTCAAATTCATTCAAACGAACATTTTGCAATTGCACCAATATTTAAATGGACATAAATATTCTCGGCACATACTGTCTTGAATTCATTTTAAGTTTACCAATCATTTCAAATTTTCTTGTTATCCAATTTAATTTGCTTCGACCAGATGCTTCAATCATTGTCGCAACAGACAAACATTTCAGACTTTCAGACACATAACAATGACATGGAGAAAAAATTGATTTGTGCTTCGCATATTCAACTGTAATAGAGCATGATTTTCAATTCAGATTTGTACATGACCTGTGACTGTTCACATCATTTGGCGGCGTCTTTGATATGCAGCATCAACATTTAACTTGTATAACATTTATCATACGTGATTGCTGACGGTGTATGGTATTCTGGTATTTCTCCACTCTTGTTTTAATAAATTAATGTATTGGCAGTTATTTTCATTCATGTTTCTTGTTTGATTTTTTTTTTATATTTTTTGCCATTTTTTGATATTTATGTTCTGTGAAATGTAACAAAGTTGAGAGCAATTTATGATGCTAATTTGTAAATTTAATTCTTAAAATTAATTATATTGCGTTTACGTTCCTTCCACATTTCCTTTCTTGTTTGTAATAACTTTGAAATTTTAAAAGTGTGTTTGCAAACAAAATAAAAGCCGTTGTCGTTTTGCTTATTTATTCGATCTAATTATCTGGTAGTGGGAATATTTCATTCAGTAGGAAAAGAAACTTGTTTGTATTGTTTGTATTGACTGAGTCCACAATTATCTAAAAAATCAATAAAATGCTTATTGCTAAGCTTGAAGTGATAATTTGATGAATGTCTTCAAGTTTGAAAGTTTATGTAACAAGTTAAAATATAGAAAACTGAATCCGTAAATGAAAGCCCAACTCTGCAAAATTTAAAATGATGCAGGCTCAGTTTGATTGAGCCTGTTCATGATCGGTAGTGGTAATGGCAAGCTATCGTCCACGCCCCCTAGTACCGGCTTAAGCAGAATTCAACATTTAAGAAGAACTGGTAAAAGTTTGAATTTTGAAACATTCGCAAATGTGTCCGCAAATGAGTGTCATGGAACACTCAATGTGACGCGTTAGTGCAATTCCAGGAAAAGCGTAAAATAATAATGTCTTTTAAGATCAAAAATTCAAAATAAAGCGTAAGAAGCAAAAGGAATATGAGGATAAAAGACATTTTTACCGTATCTGTTGAAGCCTTATAATAACAATCATCAACATAAATGTTTGCTGCTGATAGAAACTAAGAGAACAATGAGCATACCATTTGTATCAAACGATAAAGGTTTGTAATTCGAACACATTACAATTGATAGAATCCCTCATGAGTATTTTAATTTTAAAGTTCTAGAACAAGAGGGGAAGAGAATGATAACACATGCGACTGTGACGTCACAACTGACGTATAACTTGTCACAATCAAAGCATTGAAAAAAGTAGATGACGGCTGTCCAATGATAGTTTTACATGTTATTGTTCCCGGAGAATATTTTTATGACAGTGTTGGAATAATTAATGGTTACATTACAAGAACAACTTTTGAACGGACGGACAGCATACTTTGATATCCACCAATGAGATTAAAATTTGAGTAATTTATTAAATGTTAGAGATGGTGTATTGTACATAATATTCATTATAATTATTATTATTATTTAACATCTTTATCTAACTTTTGTGCCGTGGTTTACGTGATAAAACATCATATGAATCGACAAGAATTGTGATAGTCAAATTGTAAAGCACCAGAGGGAAACGACAAATAATACGGCCGTTATTAGGTCAGTCATATTTGAAGCATATTTTGTATGCTTCAAGTCAAAATTAATCGGTCCGACGACACTCTTTTGATCAATGCTTTCTATGAAATTTCCATATGTCCATTTACGATTAGCAACCCACACCTTAAAACAAATTTCATCTACGGTCTCATTTCAAATGAAAGTTACTGCACATGTCACAAAGACACCTAAAAATACCGAATAATATTTATCTTACAGCTGATTTTATTTATTTTGAGCTATGTTTGGCGAAACAATTTATGGAATTATGCTCGAAGAATATGATCGTTCTTACAAAATTGCAAAATGGTGAAACAATTTATTTAGAATCAGGAAATCAAGTTAGTAAGTACCATTGCTAAATAATACGCTCAAATACACACATTATTTTCTAAGTAGAAGTATATCAACTATCTGCTCTTAAATTTATTGATCATAATAAAGAAGAAGACAAACTGTTACAATTCTTAACTTTTGTTTACTAACTAAAAGACGGTATCATCTTCTTCGACAAAGAGTACTTTAAAACTGTAAATTTTTCGAAGATTACCTTTTCTGTAAAATTTACGCCATTTAACGCAAAATACGAGGGGTGCGCAGATGTGTGAAGTTGGCGGCCTGGCGGCAGAGCGACGTGAAGTTTGCGTCCTAGCGGCCCAGCGGCCTAGCGGCCTGAACTTAAAAAAGAATACAAGTTTGGCAAAGAAATTAAAACGACTCTTAATTAATTTTTAAAGACATATCTTACCATTTAAAAGTTACATAAAGAAACATTTAGACAGCTTTTTTTTTATCTCTAGCGACCTGTCAGGCGGAAATTTTAATGTTGTAGAGATGTTATAAATATGATAAACAACGTTACTTTATGGGGTTCTTAAGACTATTCTTGATATTTATAAGGTATATAAAAAGAAAAAAAACACTTTCAGAGAACTTTTTTATTTTTTCATTTTTGTGAAGTTTGCGGCCCAGCGGCCTGACGGCCAAAATTTTTAATGTCGTAGAAATGTTATTTTAACAATAAAACGGCATTTAATGAAGTTCTAAAGACAATTCTTGTTATTTAAAGGATATATAAAAAGAAAAAAATACTTTTAGAGAACTTTTTTATTTTCTCATTTTTGTGAAGTTGGCGGCCCAGCGGCCTCACGGCCAAAATTTTTAATATTGTAGAAATGTTATTTTAACAATAAAACGGCATTTAATGAAGTTTTAAAAACAATTTTTTGTTATTTAAAGGATATATAAAAAGAACAAAAATCACTTTCGGATAACTTTTTTATTTTCTCATTTTTGTGAAGTTGGCGGCCCAGCGGCCTAGCGGCCTGACGGCCAAAAATTTTAATGTTGTAGAAATGTTATTTTAACAATAAAACGGTATTTAATGAAGTTTTAAAGACAATTCTTGTTATTTAAAGGATATATAAAAAGAAAAAATCACTTTTAGAGAACTTTTTTATTTTCTCATTTTTGTGAAGTTGGCGGCCTAGCGGCCCAGCGGCCTGACGGCAAAAATGTATAATGTTGTAGAAATGTTATTTCAACAATAAAACGGCAATTAATGAAGTTTTAAAGATAATTCTTGTTATTTAAAGGATATATAAAAAGAAAAAACTGCTTTGAGGGCACTTTTTTATCATTTGTGTGAAGTTGGTGGCTCAGCGGCCCAGCGGCGTGAACTTATACAACTTTGCAATGAAATTAAAACGACTCTTAATTAATTAAAGATTTCTGTCAAATTTGACTGAAATAGGGCTATTCCCCGCGGGATTAGTCAGAACGCCGCCATTACAAGTCTTCAAATATTCTGCCGATGCCATTTGCCTCCTCAGCGACGAGCAAGCTCCGAGGGGAAGTGAGAAGCTGTTTAGCCAATGTAGTTGTAGTTACATCTATATGAGTGTCAAATCAAATGGAATCAAAATTTATTTATATAAACATATCACAAAAACATAACCTACATGTATGTATAGCGTTTGACCGACATACAATTTGCATTATATTTTAGCACCCTACACACGTCTGGTAACAACGTTTAGATTTTTAATGTTTATAATATTTATTTAAACATTTATTATGACAATTGATATGAAATTACATTAAATAACAAATGTTTATCGAAAATACTAATTCCTTTTGCATTATTTTTTAATTTGACCACAGGTCTGTCAGACACTAAGCCTCTAGTGAAAATGAACAGCTAAACTAATTCAATTCAAATTTAATTCAAATAGTTTATTTTCGTTTCATCACATGTACAACATATACAACACAATCAAAATGCATAAAACTGGTAAAAGTACATATTCCATTAAACATAGAATTACATACGTAAATATGATAAAAATGTTTTTTACATATTTAATTATATACATACATTACCCATATTACTGTATATGTATTGGAATAATGCGAATCTATGATTTTACCTTTTTTAATCATTCATATTTCTACTAATATGTTTATTTAAAAGTCTATATATATATATATAGCAAATTAATAGATTTGAGATATGGTTTGGTGTGAAATTGGGTAGTTCGAATGCATATCTAATAGACGCTGCGTGCACGCGGCGTCTAATAATAATGCGAAAAAAAGGTAAGGCAAGCTTATGCCTTATGAATAAAACAAAAAGCAAAATATGGAAAGCCATGGCTGTCTGATATTGTTCTTTTTCAATTTATGTAACCATTTGGATTATATATAAGTTCACTTTGACTATTTATTATGGAAAGCCATGGCTGTCTGATATTGTTCTTTTTCAATTTATTTAACCATTTGGATATTTTATAAGTTCACTTTGACTATATATGACTTGAAAACACCTTCTTATTTAACCGGAATCCATTCTATTAATCCACAGTTACAATATATGAATACATACCGTCTGTGTATGAAACCGAGTTAGCAATATATAAGTTGATTTTTTCAATATATGATTCCAATTCTTCAATATATTGTTCCAAAGTAGCAATGTATGGAACCAGATATCCTCATATGAAACCGAATTATCAATATATTAATTTATTTTTACAATATATGAAACCATTTTATCAATGTATGGAGCCGAAGTATCAATATATAAATTGATTATCACAATATATGATACCAATGATTCAATATATGGAACCAAAGTAGCAATGTATGGAACCAGGTGTCCTTATATGAAACCGAATTATCAATATATTAATTCATTTTTACAATATATGAAACCATTTCATCCATGTATTGAACCAAAGTATCAATATATAAGTTGATTATCACATTATATAATACTAGGTCTTCAATATATGGTACCAAAGTAGCAATGTATGAAACCAGATGTCCTTATATGAAACCGAATTATCAATATAATAATTCATTTTTCAATATATGATACCAATTAATCAATTTATGAAACCAAAGTAGAAATATATAAGTTGGTTATCACATAATATGATACCAATTCTTCAATGTATGGTACCAAAGTAGCAATATATGAAACCATACGCCCTTACATGAAACCGAATTATCAATATATTTTTCATTTTTACAATATATGAAACCATTTTATCAATGTATGGAACCAGAGTAGCAATATATCAGTTGATTATCACATTATATGATAGCAGTTTTTCACAATATGGAACCAAAGTAGCAATGTATGGAACAAGGTGTCCTTATATGAAACCGAATTATCAATATATTAATTCAATTTTACAATATATGATTCCATTTTATCAATG